TCACTCTATGTACTAAGCACGTGGCTCGATGTACTGCATTCACTCTATGTACTATGCACGCATTTCGATGCACTTCACTCTATGTACTTCTCTCCCGAGCACCGCAAAGCACCGCAAAAGTAGTAACTTTCCCAATGCCTATAAACCCTAAACCTTAAGCCCTAAACCCTTAAGCAATAAACCCCAGACCCTAAGCCTTAAGCCCTCAGCCGTCAACCCTAAACCCTGAAGAGTCATAGAGTCAAGTATACATGTACATAGAGTCATATTAGTCTAGTCCAGCAACCAGTGCCTATAAACCCTAAACCTTAAGCCCTAAACCCTGAAGCAATAAACCCAAACCCTGAGCCTTAAACCCTCAGCCCTAAACCCTAAAGAGTCATAGTCAAGTATACATGTACATAGAGTCTAATATTCGTCTAGTCCAGTCCAGTGCATAGAGTCAAATACATAAGTCAGGTACACAGGTACAGAGAGTCCTAGACTCAAGTACATCTTCACTCTGTGGACGATGCACTTGGCTCTATGTACTTCACTCTATGTACTAAGCACGTGGCTCGATGTACTGCATTCACTCTATGTACTATGCACGCATTTCGATGCACTTCACTCTATGTACTTCTCTCCCGAGCACCGCAAAGCACCGCAAAAGTAGTAACTTTCCCAATGCCTATAAACCCTAAACCTTAAGCCCTAAACCCTTAAGCAATAAACCCCAGACCCTAAGCCTTAAGCCCTCAGCCGTCAACCCTAAACCCTGAAGAGTCATAGAGTCAAGTATACATGTACATAGAGTCATATTAGTCTAGTCCAGCAACCAGTGCCTATAAACCCTAAACCTTAAGCCCTAAACCCTGAAGCAATAAACCCTAAACCCTGAGCCTTAAACCCTCAGCCCTAAACCCTAAAGAGTCATAGTCAAGTATACATGTAGACATAGAGTCTAATATTCGTCTAGTCCAGTCCAGTGCATAGAGTCAAATACATAAGTCAGGTACACAGGTACAGAGAGTCCTAGACTCAAGTACATCTTCACTCTGTGGACGATGCACTTGGCTCTATGTACTTCACTCTATGTACTAAGCACGTGGCTCGATGTACTGCATTCACTCTATGTACTATGCACGCATTTCGATGCACTTCACTCTATGTACTTCTCTCCCGAGCACCGCAAAGCACCGCAAAAGTAGTAACTTTCCCAATGCCTATAAACCCTAAACCTTAAGCCCTAAACCCTTAAGCAATAAACCCCAGACCCTAAGCCTTAAGCCCTCAGCCGTCAACCCTAAACCCTGAAGAGTCATAGAGTCAAGTATACATGTACATAGAGTCATATTAGTCTAGTCCAGCAACCAGTGCCTATAAACCCTAAACCTTAAGCCCTAAACCCTGAAGCAATAAACCCTAAACCCTGAGCCTTAAACCCTCAGCCCTAAACCCTAAAGAGTCATAGTCAAGTATACATGTACATAGAGTCTAATATTCGTCTAGTCCAGTCCAGTGCATAGAGTCAAATACATAAGTCAGGTACACAGGTACAGAGAGTCCTAGACTCAAGTACATCTTCACTCTGTGGACGATGCACTTGGCTCTATGTACTTCACTCTATGTACTAAGCACGTGGCTCGATGTACTGCATTCACTCTATGTACTATGCACGCATTTCGATGCACTTCACTCTATGTACTTCTCTCCCGAGCACCGCAAAGCACCGCAAAAGTAGTAACTTTCCCAATGCCTATAAACCCTAAACCTTAAGCCCTAAACCCTTAAGCAATAAACCCCAGACCCTAAGCCTTAAGCCCTCAGCCGTCAACCCTAAACCCTGAAGAGTCATAGAGTCAAGTATACATGTACATAGAGTCATATTAGTCTAGTCCAGCAACCAGTGCCTATAAACCCTAAACCTTAAGCCCTAAACCCTGAAGCAATAAACCCTAAACCCTGAGCCTTAAACCCTCAGCCCTAAACCCTAAAGAGTCATAGTCAAGTATACATGTACATAGAGTCATATTCGTCTAGTCCAGTCCAGTGCATAGAGTCAAATACATAAGTCAGGTACACAGGTACAGAGAGTCCTAGACTCAAGTACATCTTCACTCTGTGGACGATGCACTTGGCTCTATGTACTTCACTCTATGTACTAAGCACGTGGCTCGATGTACTGCATTCACTCTATGTACTATGCACGCATTTCGATGCACTTCACTCTATGTACTTCTCTCCCGAGCACCGCAAAGCACCGCAAAAGTAGTAACTTTCCCAATGCCTATAAACCCTAAACCTTAAGCCCTAAACCCTTAAGCAATAAACCCCAGACCCTAAGCCTTAAGCCCTCAGCCGTCAACCCTAAACCCTGAAGAGTCATAGAGTCAAGTATACATGTACATAGAGTCATATTAGTCTAGTCCAGCAACCAGTGCCTATAAACCCTAAACCTTAAGCCCTAAACCCTGAAGCAATAAACCCTAAACCCTGAGCCTTAAACCCTCAGCCCTAAACCCTAAAGAGTCATAGTCAAGTATACATGTAGACATAGACTCTAATATTCGTCTAGTCCAGTCCAGTGCATAGAGTCAAATACATAAGTCAGGTACACAGGTACAGAGAGTCCTAGACTCAAGTACATCTTCACTCTGTGGACGATGCACTTGGCTCTATGTACTTCACTCTATGTACTAAGCACGTGGCTCGATGTACTGCATTCACTCTATGTACTATGCACGCATTTCGATGCACTTCACTCTATGTACTTCTCTCCCGAGCACCGCAAAGCACCGCAAAAGTAGTAACTTTCCCAATGCCTATAAACCCTAAACCTTAAGCCCTAAACCCTTAAGCAATAAACCCCAGACCCTAAGCCTTAAGCCCTCAGCCGTCAACCCTAAACCCTGAAGAGTCATAGAGTCAAGTATACATGTACATAGAGTCATATTAGTCTAGTCCAGCAACCAGTGCCTATAAACCCTAAACCTTAAGCCCTAAACCCTGAAGCAATAAACCCTAAACCCTGAGCCTTAAACCCTCAGCCCTAAACCCTAAAGAGTCATAGTCAAGTATACATGTAGACATAGAGTCTAATATTAGTCTAGTCCAGTCCAGTGCATAGAGTCAAGCACATAAGTCAGGTACACAGGTACATAGAATCATAGCGTCACTTCACTTTACGTACTATGCACTTGACTCTATGTACTTCACTCTATGTACTATGCACGTAACTCGATGTACTTCACTCACTCTATACTATGCACTTGACTCTATACTTCACTCTATGTACTTCTCTCCCGAGCACTGCAAACCACCGTAAAAGTAGTAACTTTCGCACACTCGACAACGCGAATCCCTGAGAAGGGTTGCGCGTGGCGCCTAAAAGTTCGCACTTTCCCACACGTTCGTGCGCTCGACCACGCGAATCCCTGGGGAGGGTTGCGAATGGCGCCTAAGAGTGCCGAAAAGTAGTAACTTTCCCACACGTTTGGGCACTCGACCACGCCAATCCCTGTGAAGGGCTGCGTGTGGCGGCCTAAAGTTGTAACTTTCCCACACGTTTGGGCACTCGACCACGCCAATCCCTGTGAAGGGTTGCACGGGCACCGTAAGAATTGTAACTTTCCTACACCATTCAACATTCGACCACGCCAATCCCTGTCAAGGGTTGCATTCCCGATCGATGACGACGGCGCCACCCTGGCTTTAAAAGAAAGATTATATGCCGAGAGGTAGATAAGTCGGATAGAGTCAAAAGCACAGAGTCATAGAGTCACAGAGTCTCATAGAGTAGAGTCATAGAATCATAGAATCATGGTGTCATAGAGTCATAGAGTCATAGAATCATAGAGTCATAGAGTCAGAGTGAGATAGAGTCATAAAGTCATTGAGTCATCTATGTACCATGCACTTAACTCGATGTAGTTCACTTTATGTAATGTACACTTCACTCTATTCACTATGCACTTCACTCGATGCACTTCCTTCTATGTACTTCACTCTATGTACTATGCACTTCACTCTATGCACTGTGCATTTCACTCCATGTACTTCACTCTATGTACTTCTCTCAAGGGCTTCGCAGGAAGAACCCTCCGCGATGCTTTCGGAAAAAAACAGCCAAGGATCAAGTGTCCCCCCATTGCCCCCATAGCAACTATTTCTCTGGCGTGGCTGTTCTTTTCTGCTGCATGTTCTGCAACTTCCCCAGGGTTCCGTCGTCATGTTGCTCTGCTCCTGCTTGGTGGTTCCTTCCTCTTTCTGTGGCTAGCTGCGGGTGGTGGTGGTTCGCATAGCTCTAGCGTAGTAGGTTAGTAGACGCCGTCTGGGGCTCGTCCTCTCGTGTAATATCGCACAGGCAGCCCGGAGACGCAAAGTCGTCCAGGAGGTTAAAGCAGTTGGAGGATGCTATTTCCCCCCTCGTCGTAGCGGCGGTCCATCTGCGGTGGGCTCAGGAGCGTGTTCCCCCCGAGTCGCCGGCGAGGTGCTGCTCTCTTGCTTGCTCGTATGGCGTCTAGAGTCGAGACAAGCTCCCCCTCCTGCGCTTCCGCGCTACGCCGAGGCCCGTCGAGCAAGGAGTCTCTCTCTCTCTCTCTCTCTCTCTCTCTCTCTCTCTTACTTTAACTCTTAGAGAAATAGAGTCCGGAAAACCGCTGTGGCAGCAATCAACACTGAACCTCCACGCCTCCGAATCCAAACACCAAGTATCCCTTCTAAGCCGCTGCTAAGGGCCGTGCCTCGATAGGGACCGAACAGATGCAGGCCGTGCAAACAGAGTTGGAGACAGCAGGGATGTCAATTTTGGTGGTTGCGACAGTGGGGTTTTGTGGTGCGATAAGCCCTGGTCTGGCTAAAATCTAAAACGGCTGACGGGGCGCAAGGGCGCCCCTACGGTAGGCTGCTTCGAGACTATCTTCTGGTTTCTGAGAGCCGAGAAGCTGTGAGCGACCAGGACCGTTGCAGTTTAACTTGGCTCATCACAACAGTCGTCCCCCTCGAAAAACGGAATGCGCCTGCACGACAGGCCCTGACCTTTGCAAAAATGCGGCACTGCTGTGCAGGCAGCATTCCTCAAAGGCCTTCTTAATAATGGGTGCATGACGACGAAAGCTGGTGGAGCTTTGCTTCCAGCTCCAGGACCTGCCTGCAGGCAGTGCAGGCACTGCGGGGTGCGGCAGCCGCGATTGCGTGGTGCGCAGATTGATGAGTCCCCGTACCTCTCGGCCAACGCTGCCCTTTGCTGCGCATCCAGGAGCTCCTGCCAAGTCAGAGAAAGGCAAGCCAAGAGCAAAGGGAAGAAACTTGGCACGAAGAACCGCGAGAAGGCCAGTGAAGCTTCCGGATCGATGCGCGACCGCCGAAATCAAAGCTGGCGAGCTTGAGCAACCAGAGTATGCGACACGATCAACCTGCCACTCTCTTTCCTACCAGTACTGGCTGAGAACAGAAGAAACACTCAACCGTTTCAATACTGGGGTTTGGCATAGCCTCCAGAACTGTCAGAGATCGCTCCTGATAGCACTGCTCGTGAGAATCCTCATGGTGCTGCCTCGGCTAATTGTGTCAGGAAGAGGCAACCGACAGCAGAAATTGCAACCCGCGGACATTTCTTAAGCAGTTGTTTGCAGGTAAGGAGTCCCTTTGCTCCAGCTTGCTATCGCACTTGTGACCTCGGCACCTATCCATCGCACCTGAGCACACTTGTACCTTCTGCTGACAAGGTTCGGATCCAGCAGCTTGGTCGGCTGCACTTTCTCATGGATTTCTGGAGACATCACCTGCTTCTCGGACAGGCTTCAGTTGCAGACTCCATGACCGGGTCACGGCAGCCGCGGGCCTCTGCATCGTCTTGCCTCCGGCTTGTATCGAGATGATTCATTTCCGGGCAACTGGGGCAAACCCTCCAGGCCTCGCAATGCCGCCGGCTCCTGTGTCGGTGGCGACCTTGTGAGCTCGTTAAAAGCACAGGAAACCTGCGGTCTCGGGATTCTGGTCCGATGCATTGCCACGCCAGGGCAGTGGCCACAGACTCTGCTTCTGGGAACCTGGCATTTTGCAACTGTGTTTCGGTTTAGGCGCCATCACGCCACGATATACATTGAGCCACTTGCCTCTGCCACCGCGAAGCCCAGGCAACGAAGGCCTCGGATGACTGTCGACAGTACGCACGACGACTATACACACCTGGGATCCTTCATATTTGCTTGTGACTTATGCATCATCCTATTTCGATTCATGGCAAATATTGCAGCGTCCATCGGCGTCCCCAAGCTCCGAGTGCCCAGGCCACCTTGAGGATGAACCGAGCGGAAGCCCCGGCATAGGCACGGATCAGTTTCCTGGACTGTGCGCATCAAATGACTGCTTCCTCAGGTTTATGAAGCTTGGGGTGGCTGGCATTCATCTGATGTGAGACTTCTACCTGATCCTTGCTGTTCTGACTCGGCAATACCATGCCACACAAGCCGCAAGAGGATGTTGGGGCTCGCCTGTTGGGGTTTCCCGATCCGGCCTGGCGTGGGTCTGCCATTGAAGGAAGTCAGCTTGGAGAGGCTGGACCTCTGCTACCCGGATATGCCATCCCAGCGCAGAGCCCAAACACAGAAAGCAGGGTCCCCCACTAAGTTCTCCGAGAAGTGGATGCTGCCGGTGCGTCCGAAGTCCTCTATCATCGGAGGCAGCACTGGTTGACACCCGCGGCCGAATGCTGGCCCTGGCAATTTTTTAACCTTGGCCTCCTGCCACTGCTCTTGGCTGCTTGTAATGAGTCAACAGTCGAGCGCAGAATTTCACTAAGCTCTGCCTGCATCTCAAGTAAGAATGCGACTGTTGACCTCAACGTATCATCCGCCAGAGCTTCTGCTTGCTGCGCGGCTAGCAATCGCTACTAGTGTTTGAGAATGTTTGCTCCACTCTCGTGTTCATCGGCCTCTGGCATGCAGAAGATTCATGGCTGCGCGGCTGCGAACACGTCCGCCTCTGAATACTTTGGCTCAAAGCGGAACCAGTGGCATCGATGTGCCCAAGAGAGAGAGAGTAAGAAAAGCCTGCAGCTGCAGAGGATCGATTGTGGCAACTGCCCCGCTACATAACAGAAGGCTGTCAAGCTTGCGTGAAACATCGCGGGGCTCCACGATGGATCGTTAGAGCTACTGTGGCTGAAACGAAAGCCAAACTAAACTTGACATCACACCTCGCCACGCTATCTCGGCAGCTCGCCAAGAAGCGGTTTCCGTGATTCCTCGGCAAAAAAGTGCTTGACAACCAGCATTGGCATGTTCTGGTACACATCACGGAGCTGCCGGGACTCCTGTTGCGTTGCATTTTACATGTGTTAGCATTCAGCTTCATGCGTTTCACCTTTGACTTCTTCAAGCTTCAAAAGAGTTTCAGGAAGGCTTCAGTTCGTAGACGCAGGTCTTCGGCAGAGCTCTTCTCTCCTTGAAGGATCGATTGCTACAACATCTGACGAAGGTGACCCGGCTGGCCCAGGCGTAATTCTTTTCAGTGACGAGCTGGATCGCAGGAACCCCGGTGCCTGTCGAACAGCGTTGGTTTTGGTCAGGCCAAACGACACAACCAAACCTTTCGGCAGCTCAAAGATCTCCTGATCGCAAGCCTGCCAACACCTGCACCTCCGTTGAATTTACGCTTTCTCCAGGCATGTGCCCAGAACATCCTGCTTGATGTCCCTATGTAGGGCAAAAACTGAAGGGTAGCACATGCACACAGATGTGCCACAACACAGCTGTGGAAGATGGAGTCGCTTGTTCTGCATGGTCCGCCATTCTTCTGGAAAAGGTACAGTAGACTTTGCACACTCTTGGGGCTGACGAGTTGTTGAAAGAACTAGAAAGAACAGTGGAGCTCTTCCAAGAGCCAACCCAGAGCCAAGAGCCAAGGCATCCTTGCGGTGCTCTGATTGGCTCAGCGCTCTCTGGGCTGCATGCTTGCTCTGGAACTTGCGGCGTTTTCACGTGTAGAATCTCTGTTTGGGCTTGTTCTCTCATTTCTACCAGTACTAAAGCTTTTGGAGTCCTTTACCGCTGTTTCGTGCCGCTTGACCTCAGCATCCATCCTCACGCTCCCTTCCAGTCTCAACAAATACAAACATCGATCATCGAAACCTCCACCACCCATCATAAGTCCCGTTCGCGCGAACAAAGAAAGCAAGCAGCGTCATGTTCAATCCCATCCTGTCACACAGGTTCGTGTTCAAACTCAGACAGGGCCCTAGCATCTTCCACCGCGGCTGGTCGCAGCCGCCTGTCGAGATGCACCTTAGAGAAACCTGCAAGTCTGCAAGGAAATCCACTGCCTCAGTTGGACAGCAGATCCGACGACGAAGAAGATCAACCTCAACAGACTTGCGGAGCAGCGCAGGCTCCGCACGCCCCGGTCATCTTGGCTCAGAACCAAAGCCCAACATCGGCCATGCGGTCTATGCTGTACCTCGGAGCACTGCAGCACTGGCCTGGCCGCCTGGCCGTCTTCAGGGGCCCGGACACACGGCCCTCCACGACGGGATTGTACTTCGAGCCAACAAACAAACCCAGAGCCGGAGCTTCGGGCCTCAGCCCGCGGCCATGCCAAGCACAGCCATGCACAGCCCCCCCCCGCAAGTCCCGGGCGACCAGAGCATGTCAAAGAAGTCGACCTGCGCCCGGGAGGCTCCGAGCTCTCCTCGCCTCTCGGGGCCCTGGGACCCTGGGGCGCTGACCCACGTTCCTCCTTGGGGCTGAAGGGCCGGCAATGCATTCGTCAAGAATGCCAAGTACCTTCAAACAATTGCCATGATTGAAAATCTCGGACCTCGTCGCGTGTGGATACTGAGGCCACTGCCCCTTCTTGGCGAGATCGGTGACCGCAAACCTGTCAGAACTTGGCATGCTGAGTCCGTCACTGAATCAATCTCCCAGTTTAGCATCCTGTGGCCAAAGGATGCCGTAGCAGTCGATTGCAAAGAACGGTTTCCGCAACTCGACATGCTGCGCACGGGCCCGCACGCCAGAGCAGAGGTGCAGAAGGCACCGCCTATGGCTGCAGAAATCAAAGCCTGGGCACTGTCTCTGAACTCCACACTTTGGCAGGCGTTCATGGTCGAAGGGGTGCGGGCAGTAACGGGAGCCGCTTCGGGGAGCAAGGGAAACCGAACTTGCACAATGTAACCAAAACGCCTGGCCCAATGGCAGCAGCAACAGAAACCAGAGCAGAAGCGTAACAGGAACAACCCCGGAAACCGACCACGGAAACGAAGCGCGAACACAGTGAATCTGAAAGGGGCGATTTAGGGATTGCTTGCAGTTTAGGCTTGTCGTTAAATCGTTTGCTTGGGTTGCGGGCGTCTAGCTAGTCTAGCTTTCGAGGAGATTGAGGCTTGCGGCTCGCGGGTTTCAGGGTGAACGTGCTGGGGCTGGCTAAGGGACCTCACAGCTCCCCTGGAAGCAGCCAAGAAAAGACAGACCCGGAGGCACCAGTTCCTGTTACCAGGACGTAGTCCCCTGGCTGTTTCGGGAACCAAGTGGTTCGCGTTGCGATCTCCAACCTTGTTTCTGTTTCCAGTGGCTGTTACCGTTGGCCTGTTCCCATTACAAAAATATTCTTTCATCACATTATGCCTACTAGACAATCAATCGCTTACCGCTCCCCAAGCAACCACCATATCAGTGCAACACAGAGGTACTTTTGACAGTTGAACGGGTAGTCGTAAGGTCGCTTCGCTTGCTGTTGTAAGGCTTTGCCCTGGAATATTCGGAGGGCAAAACGGCCGGGAGCGGGCGGGCGGCCAAAAGATGGGTGTCGTCCTTGAAACCAAATGACCACGGACACAAACATAATATGTATAACCCACCATCCATGCTGACGATTGTCACTACAGCATGTGCAAGCTGTGTTTCTCACGATGGTTGCGCAAACTATAGACTTTTGCAGCAGGGCCTGTGCTGGCAAACTGAGAAAACAGGTGCGAGGGTAGCTGCTAGCTTTTGTCTCAACTGGACACCGTCGTCTCGGCTGGGTCAAACTACTCACTGTGTTGGTAAAGGCTCTGGTTTTTATCAGGTCATTGAAGGGCTCCTACCATCGCATCGCAAGGGAACTCCGGTCTTGGTGGAAGCAGGCTGCTTCGTTCAAAACATCAACAGATGCCACGAAAAAATTGTTCAAATCGATACAACGATGCGGACAAAGTGACTAGCAACTTGAGGTGCTTCTTCCGGAAAAACCTCAGCAGCTGCGCACTGCAGAGTGTGAGTCCAGCATGCCTGGCCAAGCTACAAGCAACTCAATATCCTAATAACAACAAGTCTTGCTGCACGTTCGCAGAGAACAGTCCGATCAATAAACACCTGATCGACAGCAAAGTGCAGAGAGTCCCTTTGCAGAAGCTGTTCGGTCCCGTGTTCTGGTTTGCATCACATACTGTCGTTCCATTCACCCCACATGACAGGTTCGTCCAGCAAACACCTCATCCTGTAGATGAAGATGGCCGGTGTGCACTAGTTGACAAGATATGGCTTGGACACCGAGATTCAAGTCACATCATGCATCGGCTTCGAAGTACCTGTAAAGAGGGTCGCAACGGACAGCTCCCATCCCCACTCTGCTAAGCATGGGCTTTCCCCTCCGGCAAGCAATTCTACACGCACATCAGCACAAATCGGATGGTTGCAATCTTACCAGTACAAACCTAAGGAGATCAGAGCAGGTCGTCGTCACACACGACATTCGTGGAGTACAGCCCTCACAGCACCACTACCAGAAGGCAGATGAAAGCTTCACATGACATGCCGCGAACTACCTACAGTACTTTGAACTTGGACTGAGATTTCTCTGGGCAAAGTGATGGGCGACCAGGCAAACGTTCTCGTCTCTACACGTCGTGTCACACGTGTCACGATAGGCATGGGGCCCCGAACCATCGGGTGCATGCACGGCATTCCACTACGAATCAAAGTGCCACGAGCCTGCTGCTTCTACCTAAGACGTCCACAGCAGCACCCCTGCAACGACGAAGACGGTGTAGAAGCTTAGCATCATCCACCTCCAGGGCTGAGCAACGAGATGGAGCAGGTCGACGAACACATCCGGCAAGCTTTTCAGCCGTTGTCTGCTCCAATGACTGTTCCCGCCTATGGTCCGTAATGAAGTGCACACCGAACCTAGGCACACGCTCCGGCTCTAGCAAAGTTTAGCAGCTGGTCTGGGATCAGGCGGCTGTGCGCACCTTAGGGACAGCAAGCCCAGAGCCATCTGACCCTGGGTGTCTGACGTGTTCAGAAGCTGCAGCAATCTCAGTGCCGCCAACACACCCAGAAAGGCACCTGCTCAAAAACCACAAGCATTCAGGACTGTCCATTTAAACATCGTCAACAAAGCCTGCAAGCGTCGCAAGTGCAACTTGACAAAGAACTGCCCTTGTCCAGCCTACAGTGACTTCCATGCCATCCATGCCCCTGTAGGCCGCAAAGGCACCGACAAAGCCCGCCTCCCATGCACACAGCCAAAGACAGCCGCGAAGTGGCGGGAGGCCGCTAGTCCACAGCTCGCCTCCAGACCAACGACGGATCGCGCAACGTGACCCCAGTCCTGGGCCGAAGACAAGCGGAAAGACACTCTGTGACTCCCCAAGATGTACGCCAAGGTTCATTCACCTCGTTCATCGCCGTAATGCCCACCACCACGAACACACAACCTCCACACGTGTCAGATTGCTTGCAGCTTCGGATTGCTCCATCGAAGCTCGAAATTAATCTCAGGCGTCGCTTCGCTTACCCCTTGGACCCTAAGTTTTCTGATGGCGAAAGCCTGTTCAGAGTGTGCGGAAGCTGAGCGCTCGACAAGCGATAATCCCCTTGAAGGAGAAATCGCCGTTGAAAACGAGGACGGTGCCGAAGCAGAATGCCTCTAGCCAGGTAGCAGGATAGGTAGCTAGATAGATGTAGATGGATGGATGGACGGACGGATGGATGGATGGATGGACGGACGGATGGATGGATGGATGGATGCAATTCGGTGTGGTTCTATCTGATGTTTCTGATCGATACATCGGCGGAGAGCGAGGGAGAGAGAGAGAGAGAGAGAGACAGAGACAGAGACAGAGACAGAGACAGAGACAGAGAGAGAGAGAGAGCGAGGGAGAGAGAGAGAGAGAGAGAGAGAGAGAGAGAGAGACAGAGAGAGAGAGAGAGAGCGAGGGTTCAGGTTTGGATTTGGCGATTGGGGTTTTCGGTTTGTTGTTTTGGGGTTTGAACGGCTTGTGGGGATATGGCAATGACACTCCTGCGATCGAGGGCGGAGCAATCAAGGTCTCTGTCTTCAGTATCGGGCCTTTACCAGCTTCCAGTTCAAACGTCTCACATCTGCCTTTTCGCAGGTCTCATGCCACAGTAAAGACCCCCTGAAGAAGCTGTGTGAGGCCACTGCTGCCAACCCCAACGCCAACGCGAAGACCCGTGCTCAAAAGCACATTGGATTCTGTATGAAGGCAACTACCTACACCCTCTGAAAACTTCAGTGCCATCACTGGGATTTAGGCCAAGAGTGCTGCAACACCCTGGTACCTGGAAAGGGCAAACATATCCGAGTGACCACACGTGTGGTGTCTCAACTACGACACTCAGCACAGACTACACTCGAAGGCTCATCGGCCGTAGGTCACTTGGAGTCCTTCAGCTCCTCTTTGATCTCCTGGAGCCGCTAAAGCATCCCGAAATGGCACACACTTGCCATGACAGGAGGGCTCTTGGCTGGCGGTCCGAAGCAACCGACTTTCTACCCTCGACTGTCATGTCACGCTCAGGTACTCCTTTGTGCTGCATCTAGTGGCTTACCATCATCCCAAGGTTTCCAAACGGTTTTGGGCTCTCCGGACACCCGAACTAAGCATGACCAGTCTGCTTTCTTGCCATCTCTTGCCTCTGCCACACTTCGCAGGATCGCCGCCGGAGGCTTGGTGCTAGGTGGCGTTGTCGTCACCTGAGCTTGCGGTTCCGCTCTCCCGTATCTTGTGCTGCAAGCCTGCAGCTCTGGCATCACACCTATCGTCGTCGAGACGTCTTCTAGAGGCCCGCACGGGCAGTGCATGCGATGCATTGCCTTCATGCGGCTTTGGGTCGTCGTGGAGGTCGATCGCCTGGCGATTCACTGATCCTGACACTCTCCCTTCACAACGGCATTCAGCCCAAAACTTGCTCGAAGCCCACGCGCTTTTCGTCAGCACAGCTGCTCAATCTCTTGCAGGTTGCAACTTTGGAGATGCCCGAGCACAGTCTGCAAGAGGTGTTTGCTGTCGGGTGCACTTGCGCCGTGCACCTTGCGGGTCTAGCCGCCTAGCCTCGCAGATCCACTCACTGAGTCACCGAGCTTAGGCGCCGCTTTCCGAAATGAAGTGGATGCCCTGGATGCTCTGGAAGTCCGGAAAGTGCGGGCGATCTGCACTGGGCCCAGGTCGCGGCAGTCGCTTCGGAAGCGTCCGTGATGTGAGTCCGTTGGTCTTATCTGCATCTCGTCACGGCAGCTTCACTGGCACGCCAAAGTGCCTCGGCAAGACCTGCATCTAAAGCCGCTTTGGATGGCTCCTGCGCCTCTCCACAATGCCAGTACAGAGGCAGCTCTCGCAGCCCTGAGCAATCCTCCCCCTTTGCAGATGACTGCACCGACTTCGCCTGTGCAGTTCGCGCGGCTGCGATTGCCGCGAGGATGTGACCAGCTCCCTCCTGCGGTGACTGAAACAGCTTCTCCGCACACCAGCACAATGCCTTCCCCAGAGGCTCCGGCACAGATGCAAAAATGCCGGTGTTGACGAGGCCAGGAGAGACTGCAACGCAGATCGGTCCATCGGGGTATCTTCTGCGAACCTCTGCGGCAAAGAGGACGTTGCAGAGCTTCGAGCGAGCATAGCGCGCGTACCACCCAAGCCCAAGGGCATGCAACAAACGAGCGTAGGGAGGGGAGCCCTGAATCTCCTCGCTCCTCAACAGAATGCCAGGGTCACGGGTTGTGATTGTCAAAGACCCCTGTCGATGCGCCCGACTCGCAACTACCACGAGGATAGATGATTGATCCATGCTTGGGAGCAGCAGTTTAGTCAGCAGGAAATGGCCGTAGTGGTTGGTGCGCATCTGCATGTCCACAAGCTCGTCTTCGGCCTTCTCCGAATCTTCGACATCCCCCATCACACCCGCATTGTTGACCAACACAAACTGCTTTGTGCCTGTGCTTGCCGAGTCCTTTGCGAAGGCTTCGATAGACCTCTGCATCAACTTCATGGAAACAGCCCCTGTCTTGCTTGAACCCAATCTCTGACCAAACGGATGCCCCACCGAGCCGCTCATAGTCTGTCAGGTCCAGGCTTTTGCACTCCAAGCGCCGCTGAAGTTCCTGACACTGCCGCCTCCTTGCAAGCTCGTGTTGTGCCAGAGTCGACTTGGGTGAGCCTCTTGGATGAAGATGCACTCTCTTACAATACTTTCAGGCTTTTAATCTTCTGAGCCCCGCAAACTACTGTAAGTGCTGCCGCTTCCGCAGGCTCGTCTATCTCTGTCCTGCCTTGCTGCACGGAAGCTGGCGGCCGACCGCTCCGACCGCTCCATGCCTGCGGAAGCGTCTGCGAGGAGACAGCAGACGACACTCCCACCCCCCTCAATCCGGCTGCTTCGAGACACCGTCGCAGAAGAAGATGCTACATTGCTTTCATGTGACCGAACCGTGAGAAGAACATCCTCCATCCAAACCCCGACTTCGTCATCCCTTGCCCCGTGCGCGTCCTGGTCCATCCAGGGAGCTGATGCATCGTGAGAACATCTTGGCGCGGGCCTGCCGGGTACTGTGGGGTACTGGGTGTTCTTTGGACCACACGTCGAAGGAGAGCTCAGGCAGAGCTCCCCGCAGTGGGAACTCGGCCTGCTCGCAGCGCTCGAGGCTGCGGCAGGCCATGAGGACCCGGCTCGCTCCAGCCTCGCGTGAAGACGGAAGGAAAGGCTCAGAGAGTAGGACGTATTCGCGGAGTCGCGGATTCGGATTCTTTCCTTCGTGTTCGGACGTCGCCTCGGCGAGCCCCCAAGCGACCTCGGCGCCCATCCCGCCGGAGGCGCCCGTGACGATGCAGACGTGGCCAGGCAAAGAGAGCTCCTCTGCGCTCTGCACTCCGCTCTGCTGTCTGCTCTGCACTTCTCTGCTCTCTTCGTATTCTCTTCGTCTACGAGTCTACGCACTTCACAAAAGTTCCCTCCCTGCCCCCATACCCCGCTCCTGGGGCGATGGGCGATGTGGCAACTCCGCCCGGCGTCGGACCCCCATGACGCCCAGGAAACCCACCTGGGCATGTCAAGCGCTGCCGATTTCGAGCCTCGCGACGTTGTCCGGCCCACGGGCCGTCGCCAGACCAATGGCATCCCAGGAGCGGCCCTTGGCCGAGGCCATCGCCGAAACGAACAAAAGAAGAACGATTCGTCAACTCAACCATTCGCCCAATATTTCTTGCTCACGTTCTTACCACTGCTCGAGATTTTGAGTTCAGTATTCGGCTGAGCTCGGACCGAAATCGAGACGGCACGAGCGCGCTGAGAAGCAAGGAACAATCAAGACTACCAGAATCTACCAGTGCTTCCACTCAGAAACATTCCGTCAAGCCTCCTCCTGCCATGTCACATGTCTGCAGTGCATCCTGAGCACCGTGAATCGCGCCTCCGACGCCCTTGCAGGCACCAACAGCGCTGCAAGAAGCAGTAGACAGATGTGACGCTCGCATCGCTGCCTGGCAGGTCTGGAAGGTGACACAGCTGTGTTTCCCCCAATTACCTCCGTCCCATGACCTGGCTGCAGGCATCGTTCCAAGCGTTGCCTTGCAACAGGCCGCTGCCTCTCCTCTCCTCCGAATCGAAGTCTCAGCTGAGATCCAGACACTTCCAAGGCAGGACCCAGGGTATCAAGTTGGGACTCGGCCCGTGCAGCCCTGAAACCCTGAAACAAACCCCGAGCCAAGAAAGGCACTCCCAAGGCGACGCGATCGCAACATGCCCACTCTCTGCCTGTGGCTTGCTGACTTGACGCCACGTGGGAAGGGACCCTCTCTCCCACAGGGCAGCGCAATGACATTCGGCTTGATTGTCCTGCAGCTGGGGAAGCAGGGACACGGCGCTGGCCGCCGTCAACCTTGCTTCAACACGGTTGGGCAGCTTGGGTGGAACATGTTCCAGACAGGGGAGGAAGTTAGCTCCCCAGACCCTGCCGGGGCACTCGTTGGAAATGCCGTGCCAAGACAGCCCGGGATTCAAAGCCTGGCAGAGCGAAAGAACTGGGACGCACGCAAGCTGCGAGCCCTGCACACGCCTTCTCCAGGTCGGATCTACAAGAGCTCCGGCCAGGGGTGCGCAAGAGGGATCCGCCGGAGAGCCTGGTGCGGAGGAATTGCTTCCTGTGCGCAACCTACCAAGTAGAAGAACGCCTTTGCAGCCATAGTCGTAGCATAGATGAAGCGGGGACAGCAAAAGGGAGATCCAAGAAGCAAAGCAGACCCCACTGAAAAAGTGCTCATCGAATTGAGCGCAGCGAAGCGAACGCTGAGAACTGGACAAGATCTGGTCCACCGTCGGCTCCATGCTTGTGATGGACCCAAATAAATATTATGCTATTTTATTTTTGAGATCCCCAAAGCATCCGTTACTCCAGTGTCCTCGCGAAAGCCTTGCTGAATGGAATGCAGAACACTCTACATTTCGCAGGATGCTGCCATGGATGCAAACAAGAGCAAAGCTGATGAACAAATCTCTAGCAGCAGGCCGTGTGTCAGATTCTTAGCTTGTGGGGGCCCTCTGAAGAAATTGTGACGCATGTCCGCGTTACCAAGCAGCTCCAACCTTGATGTGCTCCGGTGGATGCGATCCAGGATTTGGGCAAGAACCCTGACTGCATCGCTGTTTTCAGAATCCGCAGCAAAAACTGCTGCCTTAAAAAGTTATCTGCATCCTCGCAATGAGCACGTGTAGAGCGGTTGCAGCCGCAAAGCAACAAAAGACATTGGGGAAGCCTCTAAGTCCAAGGCTTAAGGACAGCAGCGACCATCCACACCGAGCCACCGGGAAAGTTGCAGCTTTCAAATCCTAACGGCAGTTGGCCACAGACTCTGCGCATTTTGCGCTGACAGGGCCCAGCCCAAGAAGCTTTAGCCGAGACGGGCCGAGTCTGGCCCCTGAAAATTCATTATCGAACGGGAAACCCAGTCATTTGAAGGCTGGGATTCCAGTGATCGCACGGCCTGGCAGCTCCCAAGTTTTTCAATCGAAAGCCAAGGTCATGGAGAGCCCAGCCTAGCACCAAAGAATGGATGTCAGCTGTGCCCTCATAGGTGTTGACAGCCTGCTGTGGGCGGGAACGAAGCCGTCCGAGCGCAGCTTCGAACCCTGCCGGCAAGCCTCCAGGTTACAGACATGGCGGATGACGTGGTACTCGTCCACGATTCCATTGCCTCCCAAGCCAGAACTTGATGGTCTCTGGAGATAGCACTGCATTGGAGTCAGATTCCGGGAAGGCTCAGAAATCTGCACAACCAACAAAGGTTAGACTCGGTAAGACAAACCAATAACAGCCGCGAGGATTTTAGCGCCCAGGGTATGTGAAACCCCGAAACGTAGGCGCTTCAATCCAAATGCCAGGCAACGACCAACATCACCAATGTTATCGATTGCACTTCCGGTTTTGTCCAGCGGGTCAAATGGGGCGGGTGGGGCAAGTAGGACGGGTGCCCGTCGTCTTCCCTTCTTCTCCTACTCCTCGTGCTCCTCTTCCTTCTCCTCCTTCTCTTCCCAGTCCTCCTCCTACTCCTACCCCCACCCAAACGCACACTCCTCCTACAACTTCTACGACTACGACGTCGACGACGAGGAGGTCCCTGGGTCTTGCATCACCGAAATCTATGTGCGATCATGCATCGAGAGCTCAGAGAAAGAGACGGTGAGAAATTCCAGCGCCAACCGAATTGGGGGGATCACAAATTCTCCCGTTCTGCGACAAACACGACCCCAAGTCACCAAAATGCGGAACTCCACGCTGCAGGACTAATCATAACCGGACCGGAACTCCATCTCTTCGCTCCCTGTTCTGGCTGCGAAAATTGATCAACTGTAGTGCCTCCAAGCATGTCCCGGCAGGTGCGTGCGATCTCAAGAGCCTGTGCCATGTAGGGAAAGGCTGGCTCTTGCTAGGCTAAAGTGATGCTGCTTCCTGGCGTCAACTCTGCACTTGGGACTTGGGGCAGCATGTCTGCACCAATTCACAATCAGCATCTGCAACCACGGAATGCCAACAACAGGACAATGAATACCTTGGTTGGGCACCGTATGATCACTGTGTCAGAACATCACTGCGAACTCTTGTACATGCACCGACCTTCGTGCACGAGTTGCGCTTCATCATGGAAATGACATTGGAGTGCAGCTCCCCAGCCTGTGGATCTACAGCGCATGCCAGTTGCCTCCCGTCTATATCCGACTGCAGCTGGCCAGATGCGATCCGGAGTCTCCCCTCAGCTACTAGCCCAACTGATGTATGCCTGATGTCTCACAGACGTTGCCTCCTTCATGCGAGTGGCTTGCAGAACGGCATTGAGGCCGATCGTGATGTCCTTTGAACAGTTGCTGGTGAGTGTCCGTTCGAAGTTCGAAGAAGAACGAAGTGCACTACTGCAGTGCCAATCCCGCGGAGTAGCTACTGTAGTAAGGAGCGCAGTCGGTCACATCTTCGTAAAGCCTGCTGGAACTTGCAAGCAAGACAGGGCGCACCGTCATCGCGTTGGCCATCTTCATTTGCACCTGGCACAGCACAGACCGCAAGCAACATCTCCCGAATGCAAAACCCTATAGGATCTGACTCATCTGAGACATTTGCAGATGAGACTTTTGGTTAGAACCGTCGAACCGTAACAACAAACAAACAGCAAAGACTGGCCGCTGAAGTTCAAATTGCTTCCATGTTCCTACCTAGAGTTTCATCCCAGCATCCCTCTGCGCACCAGCTGGTTGGCCGCGAGTGGGCGGCCAAATTGCTTCCTGCCCAAAGTGTAGTTCCTGACAGCCAAACGAAGGAAGGTGTTGGGTGGCGAGACGTCCTGCCCTCACAGCGCTGGCCTTGCAGCTTCAAGGCAAAACTCTGCAGCGCCCAGAGCACCCCAGGCGATACCTGCGAGCGCAAGAGCGACCCTCCGCTCCTGGATCGAACATGCAGGTCTGCTGACAGGCACCGAGCCGAGCTGAATTCAGGCAGGCGAAAGGTCCACGCATGCCGACAACGTTCGGCCTCGCAGGAAAATGTGATCAAGCTGAGTCTTGCACATTTTTGGAATGCAAAGCTTTGACACCGGCAGAACGTTGTCCTTTGGAACTTTAACGTCATCCAGCTGGATCATGCCCTCGGTCCAACAGAGTTTATCTCACACTCGCACCTCCGGAGCTCAACGCTCTAGGACCAAGACCGTGGGAGATGCCCGAAGGGAAAACTTGCCCTCGATCTTCGGAGTGGAGAGGCCCTTTGTCACTTCCGCTTGTCTGTCAGGTGTTTCCAGACATGTCTCAGGTCCTCCATCCCCCGCTCGACCAGGAAGCCTCGCACCTGCCATGGAACGCCGCAGCAGGGCCGGGTAGACGGCTTACTGAACAGCACCTTGTTGTCAGTGCTCGTCTTAGCCCATACCAGGCAAACGTCAGCGATCGGAGAGTTGGTGATCCAGTTCTTCGCGCCGTTCAGCAAGAAGTGATCCCCCTGCGCAAGATCATACGTGTTCTGCCAACACGCCACGTTGATCTGCAAGTGGCACCGGCCTTGTCCACGGCCCTTGTAACCATCCCGCTAGGATCCGAGCCTTCAGGGTCTTGAAGCTCCGCTCCCCGGCATGAACGAGTGTGACATGAGTCCGCAGAATGCCGAGAGGTTTTAAAAGGACATACTTCCCTTCAGTCTCATGTCGGAAAGACTCTGAGGGCATCACCGTGGTCAGGCTCCGTTAGCCCGAAACATCCTCAGGATGCTTAGTGGACACGTTTGAACCATGTGCACGAGCCGCAGCTCAGACCGAAGCCAATGAGGTCTCCAGATGCCAAGCGCGGCAGGAAACGCTCTCTTTGCTCCTTGCGTCCAGGTGTTGATTCAAGCGTTTGGATGCAGTCACCGTCTTGGTTGCCGAGCCTGATTCAGATCTCTGGGACGAGGGTGCAGAAAACCAAGAAGCACATAAACGACAATACCTGGTCCTGAGACCCGAAGAGGTTGATCGGATTCATGACCTCGCCAAACCATCCGACGCAGCATCCCTAGTGGTTCAGAGATCCTGGGAGTTGCTGGGGACACCGCTAAAGAGGACTGCACGGACAGTGCCGATCTGTAGGCGGAATCGACTCGCTCCACCTGACGAGATCAGAAGTTGAAAAATTATGCCGGTCCAGTTGCTATGAAAAGATGCGAGGGCACGACAATCACCCCCCTCCCTGCATCCCGCCTCACGCGCGATCAGCCCATATGACGTGGCAGATGCACCGGCACATCCGTAACCTTGCTGCCAAGTCCGCCAGCCGTCAGGGAAGACAAGTACAAGCACAGATACATGAAGCGAAGGCCGGCACCCTCAATGAAGGACCCTAACAGCCCCGCTTTGCCCATGGCCTCGAGGCGGACAAACATCAAAGTTTCGATGCAGCCACGATCATCAAATCTGCGCGCAACGAGCAACCTAAGCGAGCGAAGCCTGCCTTCATGAGGCCCTTGTCAAAGGTTTCCTCCCTGAAGCCATTCAAGACCTGCGGTTGGAATCTTACAGACCCCGCAACTGCAAACATTCAAAGTTTCCGGGTGCACAGGATTGGTCACATGTGAAATGAAAAGCTGTGGCACTTCTCAACCCTTTCTGGAACCCTGAACACACTCCATCACAACAGCTCGACACTTCTTCTTTGCGCACGAACACTGGGATCACTCAGCAACATGCAGGCAGGTTAAGAATGACTCGAAAACACATGCATGCTGAACGAAGCAACACCAGATGCCCTGCCTACCTTGGTGGACAAAGTGCAAAAGTGAACTAACCATGTTCATTGTCTGAAGGCGCACCTTTGGCATCAACTCCGCATCTGCAAATTGTCGCGCGGCGTCTTTGATCAACACTTCCTCACCAACTTGACACGTGAACGCGAACTGCTGAGCAGCTATGTGGGTGCTGGGTCGGAGCTGTCAAAGCATGGAAAAGTCCATGCAACAGAACAGGCCTCCTCAGAGAGCCTGCTCTCAAGCCTGAGCATATCCTGGCACGGATACTGGGTCGCGGGGGAGCCATACGCTGCACCAGAGCCCGATGCCTTCCAGTGGACTTCGCTGTCCTTGCTATTGAAACTGTTGTCGCGGACGACGCAAGCAAGGTTGCAACGAGGCTTCTCGTCGGCAACCACAAGGTGTCGTTCTAGAATCAACTATTCCGAACAGGAAAGCTGCGTCGAGAAGCCCAGTCGTAAGGGTCAGCACCCGGTTTCACGATAGCCTCGCCGATGCACCATGAGCTTGTTGCAGCTCACACGGCGCCGTCTGCTCAGGTTCAAGCCGTATCTGGAGATTTCCAGCT